CATTCCTGAGTGTAAACCTTTGTTGATTGTGAAATTAAATTCCAAGAATAGTATTCTCCAGCGTCTCCTCGTCCCTCCCTCATGGGCCGATTACCGGTTTCAAGGTATACCGCGATTTGAAAATGTCACGATTTCAAAACTGCTAATATGAATAAGACACACTTAATATATTAATTTAATTGCACGGATGATAACACAATATCAAACCAAGCGACATCTGTAAACAAATAGAGCTTTTTTCATAATAATTATGAATTCATAATTACTTTTATAATTATTATTTTTAACCAAATAGTCTCAAGGTGATTTTTAGAGACTGTATGAAGTCGGTTCTCTTCAAGTTATAATGCAAGGCCAAATTTACACAAAAATAAAATGGTTTTCCCCCATTGCAATACTCTATATATAGCTCAGCATGGTTGTGTTATGTCACTGTAAGACAGCTATGGTTTATCTGTCGAGTAACCAACATTATGACCTGGTCATCATTATGTAATTAGTCTTGAATATTCACACACTACAGATGTCTATAGCCAGACTGTCAATGTGTCTCAATGGCCACAAACAGCCTGAAATCCTTTTAAAAGTGGTCTTGTGAATCAGCTGCCAACCAGAACCTTAGGTAAAGCACACCAAAGGTGACTGAGTTTGTGTGGGTGTATGTGTATGTGTATATCGAAAGCACCGGCGGGCAAGATTTAGAGCAGCTACAAGCCCTACAGTGCTTAAGCACATCCAGACTGGAGCGTATCTGCAGCAGTGCCTAGCTCTCAGATAAGGGACTACATGCTGCATGCCTTTTGGGGTGATATGCTTATAACAACTAAGCCAGGACCAGAGAGTTTAAGCCATTAGCACGGCCAGACAGAATCGGCATACTTTAAAAAAAAAAAAATTAATTAATTTTTTGTGCTGATTTGGGCTGAAAACTGCAGGAGTCAACATGGTCAAATGTGTCAAACATCAGTTGGTATAACTGGAAGCATTTGCCGACCGCGGCTCACTCAAGCCCACCGACCATCAATGTGGCAAGCCCATTGGACGTTCAAGTGGCACTTGCTCCAGTACCAGACTTCTGTCCAGCGTGCCCGCCAGAGCCCGCTCCTCCAGAGCGCCCACCAGAGCGCCCCCCCAGGATACCTAGTTTTCCCCAATAATATTTTTTTGGGGGGGAATATTTTTTTGCCATGGCGGAGCATGGGTTGCCATGCTCCGCCATGGCAACCCAAACTGCCTGCTCAGCCATGGCTCCCTGATCCGCCGATGGTACTGTTACGGGAGTAACCTTCCTGGTCCTTCCTGTTCCTGTCCTCGTCATGTGAATTCGTCTCCAGTTGTGTTTGATTAATTAGTTCGTAGTGTTGCCATGTGCGTCCCATTAGTTTCGTTCCATTTAAACCCTGTTTCTTTGTCTGCTGTTACAAATGTCATTCCTGAGTGTAAACCTTTGTTGATTGTGAAATTAAATTCCAAGAATAGTATTCTCCAGCGTCTCCATCAGTTAGCTGGCCAATACTCCATATTAATTAAATAAACTCAGTTTATTGTCTAAAACTACCTGTTTTAAGAACATGTTAAGAATCAATAGAAGCGGAGGACTATTATTAAGGTTTTTTTAGGACTATTATTATGTTGTAATGTTTGGTTGACCAATTAGCAGAGAGGGGCGTTTCATTCCCGCCCACATGTAGAGATCGAATATTCAAGTTGTTTATTCGTTTTCTATCCCTGAATGTAAAAACGAAAAATTAAGCCGGATTCTTGATTTTTCGTTTTGTTTGAATAATTGAAAAACGAAATATGTGCCGTTTTTCATTTTTCAGATTTCAATATTAAAACAAAAATTGATTGGACGGAAGATACCCTGATTAAGATGAAGTGCATGCATGTGTTCATGTCCTCATATATTAAGACGCAGACGCTGAAAACACCGCGAGTCACGTGTGTTTGAGTTTGTGTGTCAGATGAAACTAAACTACTCCACGCATTCCCACAGACACACAGTACTTGCAGGCTTATTAGCGACATGCACTGACTGGTTGCTGTAACATTTATTTCTGTTGTGTGATAGGATGTTAGATGAATCCATCTTGAGTAAAAATGTCCAGAGTTTATCATCAGTATTAACATAAATTTGATCAATCTCGATATGAAATCATTTAACGGCCGACGCTAATTTAGGCTATTTATAGAACGTGCTTGGCGGCGACTCAGACTCCACGCGGGCTACCACGCCACGTTGGTGACCAGTGACCACAGCATTACAGCATTCAGACATATGTAGGCCAATGGGAGAAACTCAAACACACTCACTAGGATATAGTTATGCTACCCTGGCAACTGCTTCCACTGCATATGCCGTCCTGAGATGGACTGAGTCGGTTAATTACCTGGATTGCTAGTTTTGGGTTCTGTCGTATAACCTGCTATGGACTGTGAGGGTGTTCACATTACAATTGCATAACTGATTATTTAAACACTATTGCACTCCAAAAGTTTGGGGTCAGCAAGATTTTTTATGTTTTTAAAATAAGTCTCTTCACTCACCAAGGCTATGTTTATTTCATTAAAAATACTGAAAAACTGTTATATTGTGACGAAGTGACAAGTGACATGTGGCCAAGTATGGTGACCCATACTTGGAATTAGTGCTCTGCATTTACCCATCCAAAGTGCACACACACAGCAGTGAACACACACAAACCGTGAACACACACCCGGAGCAGTGGGCAGCCATTTTTGCTGTGGCGCCCGGGGAGCAGTTGGGGGTTCGGTGCCTTGCTCAAGGGCACCTCAGTCGTGGTATTGAAGGTGGGAGAGAGCACTGTACATTCACTCCCCCCACCTACAATCCCTGCCGGTACGAGACTCGAACCCACAGCCTTTGGGTTATGAGTCCGACTCTCTAACCATTAGGCCACGACTTCCCCAAACATCATACATCATTGTTAAACATCATTACAATTTAAAATGACTGTTTTCTACTTAAATATATTTTAAAATGTCATTTATTCATGTGATGGCAAAGGTGAATTTTCAGCAGCCCTTACTTCAATGTCTCTCTCTTAATCCTTCAGAAATCATTGCTGATTTGGTGCTCAAGAAATATTTCTTATTATTATCAATAAAAGTTGTACTGGTTAATATTTTTTGTGGAAAATGTGATTTTTTTCAAGATTCTTTAAATAAAAAGTTCAAAATGGATTTAAATTAAAAGAGATTGTAACATTATAAACGTCTTTACCATTACTTTTGATCAAATGAATGCATCCTTGCTGAATAAAAGTATTAATTTATTTTATTCAAATAAAAAATAAATAAAATCTTACTGACTCAAAACTTTGAATGGTAGTGTATGTTATAAAAATACTTCATAATGTCCCTACTTATTATGTAAATACAACTAAAAGTAATCCATTCATTGGTTATAAAACATTACTCTGGATTTTGAGCATCCTGACACAACAATATTGGCTCAACCAATGGTGCGAGTTTGGTCAGGAATCTGTTTGTGCAACCAGTGGCAGACAAGGGAATATTTGAGATCTGTACAGAAAAAAACCTAATTATTTGACATTTGTTTGGTGATGCCAGTGCAGCAGAAATCATATGCTTCTCCAAAAAAAAAATTGCTTTGATGGGCAAAATGAGATACAGCCTGAGGCTCAGAGAACATAAAAAGACTGAAGGTGGCAGTCAGGACAGCCAGGTCAATGTCTGAGAACAAAGAGCTCCTAAGTACTTTCTAATATATTTCCTGGCAATATAACTGAAACTAGAGACCTTCAAACTGAGCAATTAATAAGCTATTACCGAACCATCGTACCCCAGCATGCTTTGATCTTACGAGTAGTTTTGTAGGTCTAAAGACAGGGGGTTACCATCACACACCAGTGTCCTTACTTTCACTTGTCAAAGTCCATTCAGATTTAAAGATCAAAGAATTTGAGCATGTCTGACCAGCTTCTTAAATCAGTTCACGAAAACGCCTTGAAAAATCCACGCTATGACTTCCAAGCCTGGCACAAACATATGTAGTTCCAGAGAACAAATCAAGCAGAATCAGAGTTATGGCGAGACTGTTGCAGCTTTATGGCCGTCTCTTTCTTGCAAATCAAACGCAGTGGGCTGAATTATCATACTGGAGGCCTGTCAGAGAGCTTTTATCATTCTAATTAATTTGCCAAAAGGCTACAGCCGTGGCTATTTTTATTTGAGAACGAAGGGGAAAAAAAGGAAAAGTGGAGAAAAGAAAACAAAATGCCGCCAGTGCCTTATGCGTTCATAAGACAGATGCACGGATGATTTAGACCTACTGCTAGAGGGGGATCATCACTAAATGAGAAACGAGCATGCTGCAGAAAAACGAAGGATTTATAACCACTAGAAACAGAAGAGCACATGCAAAACAAAACGTATGGGATGACAAGCACAACAGCAACATCTATATGTGCTTGGTGGCTACTATTTTTGAGAACAGAAAGCTGTTCCCACCTTGATCCTGGAGGACCACCAATAGTACACATTTTTGGATGTCTACCTAATCAAAGACCTGATGCAACTCATCAGCTCTTTAGTGAAGTTCTCCACGATCTGAAATGGGTGTGTACGGTTGGGATTCCCCCAGGAACTGGGTTATATCCACCTGTGGCAGGCTGGAAAATAAAAGAACAGCAACATATGGCATTCCAGATTAGTGTTTTAGCTCATTAGGACAGTGACTCACAGGGTTACAATCTTAATCTCAAGATTGACCAAATGCAGAGGTGGAGAATACAACAACCAACCGTATTTTACCCCTCACACCTTCTAACCCACCACTGAGACATCACAGGTGGCACCTCTTACACCTGAAGCATCTACCTGCTCATGATATGGTAGATGCAGTTGAAGAAATGGCAAGCATTGGGGTATATAAAATAATCTGATTCAAATTAATAATCAAGAGTAGAGAAATATGACATTTGCTTAGAAGTTCAAGAACATAAGACTGAGCTCACCTTCAGGAAACGGGTTTGGCTGAACCACATAAAGGAAAGCGTGCATCATGTTAAATAAAATCCCAATGGCCCCAGGCTCGTAATAGGCGACGGTATCGTAAACTCCGGAGGGGACGAAGCCGAAATCCAAAGTTCTCTGCGCTGGAGTAGCACCGGACTGCCTGTCCTGGAGTTCCCCGGACGTCAAGCCCCAGCACAGAAAAATCAGTCCCGTTTTCCACAGCATGATTAGTTCTAGTGTTGAAGCAATTCCAGGTGACAGAAGTGGAGGAAATTCTGGGTTGTACTATGAGGGACAATTTCAGATAAATCGCAGGTCTCAAGTCCTGCTGCCCGGCGAGCGACTCATGATGAGCATGGTCCCCCCGCGGCGAGCGGCTCCTGCAGGTTCATGGTGCGCCTCTCAGTCGGCCGGCCAGTCAGATGCCCCGCGATAAAAACACGGCTGATGAACGTGAACCAGTGAAGTGTAGGGGACTACGCAGGCTCTCTGCGCGCGCACCCCCTCCCCGCGTGCTAACGGGTTTCTCCGGAGCTCGGTGCTCCCGCCTGTCGGGTGCTCAAGACAGAGCAGATGAGACGCGATGATTTATAAGCGGTTTTCAATCATACACTTTACTACTTTCAGACACTGATTTTGAAGATTGGTGAAAATGTGACTGATTTTAAACACCTTTTGTACGTAATGATTCATTTTTAGTTCAAAAGTGTAATATCTGTCAAGATAAAACTGAGGGTAGTCATTAAATAGGCATAGGGGAGAGTGGGGTAAGATGAGCCAGTGGGTAAGTTCACCCACCCCCTGTATCTTGCCAACTGTACACTTTTTTTGTCATGTGACCATATATTTTGAAACCACCCATAATTTCTCCCAGACTGTGAAAAGTGGAAGGCACCCAATTACTTAAAAAACTTAATGTTTTTTTTAGCATAACATATGTAATGGCTGTTACATCAAAGTAAATTTATCCAGGTCTAAAAGTATTTATGATGCATATAAGAGATTTAGCAATGTATAAGAATATGTTTTTTTCCAAATGGCAGCTATGGGGCAAAATGAGCCAAATGTTGTGGGGTAAATTGAGCCAGCATTTGATCTTACTCTACCATAAGGCACTGTAGTTAAGTTAAATCTCTGACGTATAAACTGGTAGTTTAATGTGATAGTACACAACTGATTTAGTTGATCATATATACATATTATTATTTGTAGTTTATTTGATAGGGACAGTGTACAAGTGCACCAAATCCATATCTGATAGGATCCAGAAGATGCTTTTCATCACATTATAATCAGATATATCTTTCCACCTGTAGTCCCTAATGGCCTGTTCGACATTGCAGAAAAGCTACCATGCCAAGAATCTTTTGACTAAATTGTTCATTAGTTTCAGTGACATTTATTCCTTCATTCTAATTCAGTTTTTTAATTTTTATTTTACTCCACAAACTCTCCGTTTAGTCTGTTTTTGGGAAGATTACAACTTTGGTGTTAAACATATTGTTTCAGAAATGCAAACAATTAAAGATTGAAAATTTCATTTGGTTGGTTTTATGTTGTTTACACTAGCTTTAAGAAAAGAAATAAGACTGTTTGAAAAAGAGGTAAATTATCTTTCAAATTTAACATGGGTTTGAACCAGATTCAGTCAGATGGCCAGTTTACAACCAGATGGTTCATTTTACTCATTGACTCGGGTCAACTTACCCCCACCCTGGGGCAAACGGAGTCACAGGAATACTTTTTTATAAGAAGCCATATTTTTAGAAACCTGTCATAGATACATTCTGATAATATAAAATGATAGGAAACATCCTTCAGTTACTTTAGATACTTTGATTGTACTTCTGCGTCATTTTCCCTTATCTTGAGGACCACATAAGTAAAAAGTGGCTCATCTCACCCCACTCTCCCCTACAGAATTTAGGCCTATATCGAAATATGGTCCAAAATGCTCTTCAAATGCCGAACAACGGTTGGATTGTTCATATTTTTATGCATTAAGTTCCCTTGGTAAACATAGCTGTACCACAATGACATTGTAGCAACTTGGTTTGACACTAAAAATGTAATTAAGCAGACTCCAGAAGTTACTACTTTGTCTGAAGGAGATTATTTATTTTGATTTACAGCATTAACACTCATTAAGATACAGTATTCTGGTGGAAACTGGTTGTCATGGTAAATTCTGTAAGTTTTTTTTTTGGTGATTTTTCTTATAAAATACAAACTGTACTTAATAAAAATAAAATAAAATCCCATAGACCCAGAGATGTACTGGTGGATGGAACAAATGGAACATCATTGACAGACTAACATCCATAATAATGTCGAGTAGAACATCATTCTGGATCAGCGTCTTTCTTTGTTCCTTTCAAACAAACACAGTCCTACTGTAAATTATTAGCTACCTCTAAAATCAAAGGGAAATGAGAGGGTTGATGAAAATATTGTTCAAGCCCTAATCTGATTTTTATTTATGGGAATATTGGTGAAAACAGTCTCAGAGTCATAAGGTGCTGCAGGGGAGAATATGTGGGAGCTGCTGTTATATAAGTAACAGGATTTTCATTTCAAACGTTTGGATTTTATATACTTGTTCAGCATTTCATGTGTTAGCCAAATAAGTTGACCCACTGAGTGGGCTGACATCTCTTACAACATGACTAATTTTTCTCTGATTAAGCCATCAAATGCATTAAAACAAAGAAGAAAGTACTTTGTGTATTACAATCATATGCACATCTTAAATATATGCTTATTATAATATGGTCATTTCATTTAAAACCAGGCATTATTCCTTCACTATATTCTGAGAAACAACTGCATAATTCATTAAGAATGTGAGGGAGGTTCAGAATGTTGTGTGTACATGATATCAGAGCAGGAATTCACTTGATTACATTCTCATCCTAGCTGTGGATTAAAGGATTCTGTGAAGAATGCAATGGCTGCAGAATGTTGTGTGTGTCAGACATTGCTGAACAAAGACAAAATCCAACGGTGTCAAAACCCTGACGGTCTGTTTGGACAAGAAATGATTCTTTTCTGACATGGCAAGCAGTAAAATCAGATTACCATGGAGGGCAACCACACTGGTTAGTCCTGCAAAATACTCTCAACAACAAATACATCAAGATAAAACACCATTAAATATCTACTGTTGCAATTTTACCCAAGAGTAAAATTTCAAGAGGATTTCTTTACTCCAAATGGCCATACAGTTAGAAAACAACCTACTGCTCTACCTCCTCCGTGTTTACTGTATGTCTTAGCGTCAAGTTGGTACCTGGTATCCGGAGGTCTTGATGGAGAAGGACAGGGAGGTTTGTGGTGGGTGTAGGGGAGGTAAACATTACCTCATACACATGGAAATGGAGATGGAGGTGGCTGAGGGCAGATTCACTAGCTGTCTGTCACCGTCTTGTGAATTCTGTAGGAGAAAAGGTCACAAAGTGGCAGATATTACGGTCTCAGGATGTCAGATACGTGGGCGCAGTTTAAAACCAGATCATACCACAGAGAATGCTTTCTGACTGATAAAACTAAAAAGGTGAATAAAATCCGTAAAATACTTACAATATAATGACCAGTCACAGCACCAAAAACATACAACTTTCTGTATAAATTCATATAAGACATGGCACAAATTACAAAACAACTTTTATTTGCTGTACCCAGAACAGGGATGGCATTACATAAAAACAAATGGTTTAGTCTTCAACATTTACGTATGAACCTACTTGAAACATTATGGTATATTTAAAAAACAAAAAATGAGAACACACCGTGAGGACAACAACCTGTGTAACCCTGTTCAGAATCTCTCCAAAAAAGTCATTAGATTTTTACAAGGATAATAAAATAAAATACAATATACTGAAATGCAAACTATGCACATTTCAAAACATGGCAGGAACACTTCTATTAAGGTATTAGATATTAGGTATTATTATAAAAAACATTTCAGTCAAAAGAGAATGATGGAATATCCATTTTTTCAAGTCCCTTGGCATTTGGTACCTTTGCACCTCATGACTGTGTACTGGAGGTAAATTCTAGACATAGGCTGAACAGACTTAGATTGACATTCAACTTTCCTCACTGCAAAATCAACTTCCAATCAACATTATAAAACAGTATCAACATGATAAAACAGTATCAACATGATATTGAACTATTAATTACTGGATAATAATTTAATTACATTTAAAACAACAAAATATTAATTATATCAAACAATAGTCTCAGTATAGGATTGGTCACAGATTATTTGAATTTCAAAATACACTAACAATGTGCATAAAAAAAGCTCTAATTTTGTTACATTTCATATGAAACGGTTATTTGCTTTCATAGCTGGTGTAAATAAGCCAATATCACACTTCAAACAAAAATATTCTGTACATCTTAAGACAATGTGGTAAATCAGTGCAAAGTTAAATCAGCTGGATTGGCACCATGTATATTGTACAGAGCTGAATTATCAAGCAGCCTGGCATTAGCCAAACCTTCCCTTTCTGGTCATGAGTCATGAGTTTTAAAGAAAATTTTAAGAAGAAAATGAAAAACTGTATCTGTTACGATACAGACTTCAACTGAAACAAATAATACCTTTACTAGTTCTAAAAACAAATATTTGCCAGACTGATCAAGTCTAATGGCAGCATTATTGGCAAACTCGTTTAGCATATTAGTAAAAAGTGTGTGAATATATACAACATTATCTGTTTATACGAATCAGTTGTAAATTGCTCAATTGTTTTTTTTGTAAGTGTTTTAAAACTAATAATACATTATATGCTTTTTAGTATCCAATCAAAGACAAATTTCTAGTGGGAAAAGTCTAGTTTGTAAGAAGTTCATGCCTCAATTATTGTTCAAGATGTTCTGTCTCTGTTGAAATCGAGACAAACATATCCTAAGCAACACTAGATTCTACACCCTGTTGATATGCCTGGCTGCCGAGGGCGAAGAGACTCTTTGTTTTGATTTAAAATGCTTTACGCACAAGATTGCTTCCTTTGACAAATATTCCACAGGAATAGAAGAAGTGAGGACGGCAAATCGAGTAATTTTCCAGTTAGAGATACATAGTAGCAACCTCTGAAGAACTCACTCGAAAGTCAATTATGTCAGACTCAGACTATGAGTCTTCTCCACTTTCGTTCCTGAGCAGTTACTATGGTGATGGGGTTAAAGTTCACCCGATTCGGTTGCCGCATATTGTGAAGCGGTCAATCTCCAACAGATCTTTTTTGGTGGCTCTGTGTTTAAGTTCAGTAGACTGTGGTGTCTCGCTACTGCTCTCCTCTGGTTTAGGAGGAGAATCTGGGGGCGAATCACTGGTCACCTCAGTTACAGGAGGTGGAGCCGGGGGAAAAGGCTTCGCTCTTGGGCTCGGCTGCTTGGTGATGGAGGTGGAGGGTTGCTGCACTTTAGGCTCAGCTAAAAAGAGGTGAAGAAACAAAGAAAAAAAAAAAACATGATTCAAAAACTCTCCTCAGCACACACAAACACACAAAAAAAATAACATGACTTTGAGAAACTGACAGAATGGCTGAACTACTGAATAGGCAAAACTTGTGTTACCTGAGGGTGGGGGAGATTTGGTGGGGTTGGCTTTCTTGGGAGTTTGTTTTGAGGTTTGAGCAGTCGGTCTTTCAAACAGCTTACCCTCCATGTTAGCTTCCTTCACATAGCGACAGGACTTGCCCAGAATAACTATATTATTCAACACTTTCATTGTTATCAATCTGCAGAATCAGACCAAACAATCAACACATTTAAATTAAAAGCTGCAACTACTACTTTATAATCTTGTGTTGGGCAAGCTACTCACAAAATGTTTCCAAAATGTTACCAACTACTCTACTATCACACTTTTACTCTCTGTACAATCATACTATTACACTACAGTAAGCATTTTTTACTTAATATACACTACCATTCAAAAGTTTTGGTTTGGCAAGTTTTTAAACCAAGTGGTATGTTCACCAAGGCTGCACTTATCTGGTCAAAAAATACAGTACTATTGTGATATATATTGTGAAATGTTATTGGAATTTAAAATATCGGTTTTATATTTTTAAATATAATTTTTTCTGGTGATGGCAAAGCTGAATTTTCAGCTTTTCCTTCAGTCTTCAGTGAGCGCGTTTACATGCACGTTCTTAAGCCGATTATGCTTAATAAACCGAAAACGTAGTTGGTCATGTAAATGGTAACCCGTTTTCTTTTATCGGAGTACGGGCATAAACCGGTCGCAACAGGTAGTTTTTTTGCCTCTTACTCCCAATTTCGCACGGCATGTAAACTCAATAACCCGCTTTCTGTCGGCTTATATAAGTGCGCATGTGTGATACGTGACAGGAACACATCGTTAGTGCAGATTTAAGCGCATCTAGACCGAGCAAACGTCTTGCAGTAAAGAAAGAAGGAAATATATCACAAAAGCAGACTTTTTCATGACTCAGAAAATGATAAAAATGTGTTCTCATCTCGTGCAGCAGAAGTAGAAGTGGTTCAGTCACAATGCTGCTTATAACTGCATGAGACGATAATATATGAGCTGTAAGTTTCCCGACATATTGCAAGCTTAATTTAACATCACAACTGACAAATGTATGGAATACTCCGAGTCAGATACGCAAATGATTATATTTTGACGTCACTACAGGGAAATAACCTGATTTATTAATGAAGTCATGTAAACGCAGCTTACTTGCGTTGTCAGGTTACTGATGTGCATGTAAACGGGGAAAACTGGTTATTTTAATAAGCTGATATTTGTGAGTTATCAGCTTACTGGTGTGCATTTAAACGTGCTCAGTGTCTCATGACCCTTCAGAAATCATTCTAATATGGCGATTTGGTGCCATCTAAACATTTCTTATAATCATGAATTTTGTCGTTTTCTGAACAGTTGCTTAAATTTTTTTTGTAGAAATATGATACGATTTTTTCTTCAGGATTTAGCATTTATTTGAAATGGAAACCTTCTGAAATGTTATACAAGTCGTTACTGTCATTTTGAAAAATTCAATGCATCTTCGCTGAATAAAAGTAATAATTTTCTCAGAACAAAAAATAATTACAAAATTACTGACCCCAAACTTGTGAATGGTAATGTATTAAAAAAAAAAAAAAAGCAGCCTTTCCCTGCAACTTAAAGGGGTCATATGATGCAATTTCAATTTTTCCTTTCTCTTTGGAGTGTTACAAGCTCTTGGTGCATAAAGAAGATCTGTAAACTTGCAAAGTCTCAAATCCAAAGAGATATTCTTTATAAAAGTTCAGAGTCAGCCACACCTACCTAAAATGGCTCGTTCTAACATGCCCCCACATATCTACCTCACTATGTGGGAAGATTTGCATAACGCCGCCCAAATGTTCACTCAAAGAAAGGCGGCGTAACTTTTATTCTCACTGTAGTATTGTTGCCGCTGCCGCCATGTCGTGAAGGCGCTGTGTGCTTCGTTGTGAAAGCGAAACGACTTTGTTTGGTCTTCCAAAAGAGGATGATATCCACTTTGTCATGCCGAGAGCTGATCCGTGCTGGTCGCTGAGGGAATACATAAACTTTCACCGTGGACAAAGCGGTGTCCAGCCCGGGGTCGTCACATGTGGTTGCCGCTTATTCGTCGCATCCGCCGGGCGCGCCGTTCTCGACCCCGCCGCCTCAGCTCACTCTAGCCCGGCTGGGGCTTCCCCTCACGCTAGGCCGCTGTGTTTTTCGTTGTGATTGCGAAACTACTTTGTTTGGTCTTCCAAAAGAGGATGATATCCACTTTGTCATGCCTAGAGCTGATCCGTGCTGGTCGCTGAGGGAATACATAAACGTTCACCGTGGACAAAGCGGTGTCCAGCCCGGGGTCGTCACATGTGGTTGCCGCTTATTCGTCGTATCCGCCGGGCGCGCCGTTCTCGACCCCGCCGCCTCAGCTCACTCTATCCCGGCCTCGGCGCACGCTAAGCCGGGACTTCGGCTCACGCTAGCATGGCCTTCGGCTCACGCTGGCCCAGCCTCAGCTCACTCTAGCCCGGCTGGGGCTTCCCCTCACGCTAGGCCGCTGTGTTTTTCGTTGTGATTGCGAAACTACTTTGTTTGGTCTTCCAAAAGAGGACACGACTACAAATCAGTGGTTAAGTTGTATTTACAACACTGTTCCAGAACAGTTTAACCCAAATATCCAGATGTGTGCAGCACATTTTATGGTGGACTGTTTACTGATCCTGGGAGAGTAACGTTAAGACTACAATGCCGGCAGTTCTGACTCACGTAAGTAGGTTTTCATTTAAAGGATTTGCCACTGATGATTCAAATGCGAGTTCTGGGCAGTGTGGAGTAGCACTTGTTGTTTGTCATTTCTCCGATCACAAGTGGAGACAGAGTTTTGTTTTCGCGACACGATGCAATGCAATGCAACGCGTAAAAAGACCGCACACGTCATTATATTCAGTAATTATGTCCCCACTGGATGCAACAAATGCCTCGTTTGTAATGGGTTTTAATGTTTTTGAATCATCGCTCCGGCCTGACACGGCATCAACAGTATGTGAGGGGCATAACATTTCCGTCTCACGCTTGAGGAATTCGGCCAATCACAACACATTGGATAGCTGGCCAATCACAGCACACCTCGCTTTTTCAGACCGATGAGCTTTGAAAAATCGTTTCAAAAAGGCGGGCCATAGAGGAGAAACAGTAATGTACAGTATGTGGAAAAGAATGTGTTTTAAAATAATGAATAATGAAAATAATGTGTTTTAAACCGCATAAACACATTTCATTACACCAAATACACAAAATAATGTTCTTTTTAGCAGCATCATATGACCCCTTTAATCATATCTCTTCACTCCATGATTTAAAAACTACAGCAGTGTATCCACCTCTACCGAGAAATGTAGTTTCTATTTGAAATGACACTAATGGCCAAAACTGCTCACAGAATGTTCACAGATTGTGTATTTGCACAGTATGAAAACAAAACAATCAAATACTCTCGGTCTGTAGAGATTGGGTTGCACACTTAAGTCATGCAGTCAAATTTACACATTACTGTATGTGATACCATACACTTTGAGCCAACTCATTTACCCAAGATAAAAGAGGAGCAGACAGACAGATGAGAGAGCGCCCTGGATCTTCACTGAGCTCATCACCACTCGAATCAACTGAAGGAAACAAAACCATATCCTCAGTATCAGTATCATATTTGCAATCCGTTACAGTCTTGAATAATACCTCTAATATATGATTTGTTGTTTACATTTAGTCATTTAGCAGATGCTTTTATCAAATATGACTTACAAATGAGGACAATAAAAGTAGTCAAAACTAACAAAAGAGCAACAATATATAAGTGCAAATGACAAGTCTCGGTTAGCCTAACGCAGTACACGTAGTAAGGTGTGTGTGTATATACATATATATATATATATATATAAAAACAAGTAGATAGAATAGAAAAAATAGAAAGCTAGTGTTTAAAGATAAATATAGATAAAGTAGAATTAAATTAGAGGGTCAAATAAAGGTGTTTAATGTGTCATTTTGCATTTTGTAATTACTATGCTGAAAAACAAAAAAACAAATATTGTTTCATTGAGTATTTTTAGGTTACCCTACAAATAAATTCTTATAGTTATGTGCAATAATAACCAGAGTAGTTAAACAAGTGAAAATATCTCACCAGTACAGCTAGAGGTAAAGGAATGAAGCCCATCCTTCTTGCCACCGAATCGCTGTAGTCTGTGTAGGCCTGTCCATGAATCAACCACATTATATCCTCAAATATATATATATATATATATATAAAGCAATTGGAATACATCTGCAAAACATGACATTTTGTGTTTGGCCACATTATCACATTATATCCTCAAATATATATATATATATATATATAAATATATATATATATATATATATATATATATTTTTTTTTTTTAAATAAATAATTTTATGCTGATTATAGATACTAGGGCTAGATTTGATAAAAAAAAATAAGCATTTAAAAATGATTACATATTACATTAATAATTCAGACAATAAACTTTTACTTACATTCTGTTGTCGACTGCTGACTAGTTCAAAGGCCAAGCTGGCTTTATATTCACTGTAGACCTAAAGAACATGATAGAAAGGCAAAGTTCATATGTGGCGCCTATATTTAGGGCTATGTTAGTGCACTTTGTTGGCACCCTCAATGTGTACTTTTGAGAATCTTTGAAAATCAATTACAAATCTGTGGCTCTCACATCGGCTGTGATGTCATTGAATTTAGTGATGAAGGCGTGCTTGACAATGTCGACTGCAACCTCAGACATGATTACTATAAGGACGTCAGGGAGCAGCACCCAGAGGTGATCTACAAGCAATATCAACAGTTAACAGATTAACCAAGCATTGTTGAAAATTTGCTGAAAATGTACTTATCCTCAGGCCATCCAAGATGTACACGAATTTGTTTCTTCATCAGAACAGTTTTGGTTCTCTCTTTTGGTCACCAATGGATCCTCTGCAGTGAATGGGTGCCGTCAGAATGAGAGTTCAAACAGCCGATTAAAAATATTATAATAATTCCAGGGAAACTTGTGGATTATTGGTGTTATGGACTCTCATTCTGTTCTAATTACGAAACAAACTCATCTACATATTGGATGGCCTCAGGCAGAGTCAATTTCCAGCACCTTTTTTATTTATTTATTTATTTTTTGGGTGAACTGTTTTTTCAGGTAAGTACCACGGTCATTATGAATCTGATTGGATCTGCCTCATAAAGATGCTAGATTGTCAGATTTTGGCGCTACAATAAACCAACTACTAGACTACAGAGGAACTAGATTTCGCTTGAAAAATGCCTGTATTTTCAATTAAGAGTTTAAATCTGATTCTGAGTCTTAATCCAGACCTGAGTTCCAGGAAAACTGCTCCATGTTCCTCAGGCACACGATGAGGAGCAATACAGAATTGGTGAACCGCTCCTTGATATCTGTATGAAAGAAATATAAACCCAACACATGAGCAACACAAAGTCTGCACATCTTTTATTCACAAAGCCCCTCTCTCTCCAATCCCTGCAAAACGTGAGGGGAAACGACGGTCAGCAAATAAAGCTCTCAGATTGTAAGACTTCAAAGGATGGTAATCTGTACGATGCATGCACTGTTTCCAGCAGGTTGTGTATGAATAGTAACTTGAGGAATTATTTCCTCACAAAGGCTTGAATGGACGATCACAAGACTTAATGGCCATTTGAAAGTGGGGAGAGAGTAAACAGCAGAAGGGAGAATAGGTGCTGATTACAGTATATCAGTGTGTCTTTCATAAAGAGGATGGGCACTGTAGGAAACAGGCACTCAAACGGCACCACAGTCTGTCAGTCTGTTTCTCAATACAGAATTGGTGAACCGCTCCTTGATATCTGTATGAAAGAAATATAAACCCAACACATGAGCAACACAAAGTCTGCACATCTTTTATTAACAAAGCCCCTCTCTCTCCAATCCCTGCAAAACGTGAGGGGAAACGACGGTCAGCAAATAAAGCTCTCAGATTGTAAGACTTCAAAGGATGGTAATCTGTACGATGCACGCACTGTTTCCAGCAGGTTGTGTATGAATAGTAACTTGAGGAATTATTTCCTCACAAAGGCTTGAATGGACGATCACAAGACTTAATGGCCATTTGAAAGTGGGGAGAGAGTAAACAGCAGAAGGGAGAATAGGTGCTGATTACAGTATATCAGCGTGTCTTTCATAAAGAGGATGGGCACTGTAGGAAACAGGCACTCAAACGGCACCACAGTCTGTCAGTCTGTTTCTCAATATATATATATATATAATTTTGCCTGTGGTTGTAAAAACAAACCCATGCAACAACTCAACAACAACAAAAGGAACAACTCAAAACCCATGCAGATGTTTGATGTATGGTCTTTATGTATAGACAACGAGGAAAACAAATAATACAAGTTCAGTATTGACGTCTATCACACCCTGCCTAATTCAGTTAGGACACTTTCAGCAGAAAACTAATGAACGGACGGTATCAGATTTATTTGAGGAGTTGAGCTGCAATTCAGAGGTGTGCACTGATCCTGCGTCTTGGGTGTGGGTAGGAGAATAATATAGGCGGATGTTTCATTTTCACTTAAGGCATCACACTCCCACTCACGAGGAGGAATCTACACAAACATCCCCAGGAAACAGCAGGACTGAGAACTGGCAACAAAATGCTGAAAGAAGCTGAGCTTTTTTGTCATAGAAAGATTATGATTGTAAGACTCCCCCATACACAAAAAAGCACTGTGGAGATATCATGGCACAAAAATAAAATTAATAGTAAATGTAATTTTGGCAAGGTAATGCCAAAAAAAAACATATACACTACTGTGCAATTTTTGTTTAAATCTTAAAGTATCTTATGCTCACCAAGGCTGCATTTATTTAAAGGTGGGGTAAGCGATTTTTCAAAAACGCTTTAGAAAACTGATTCGGGCCGACTAGTAAAACAAACTTGTAGCCAATCAGCAGTAAGGGGCGTGTCTACTCATGATATGGAGGAGAGAGCGTTCAGTGCACAGGACGGACATTAGCGAGCAGAGCGACAGAAAGATAGAGATGGTGGATAAAAAACAAAAGAGGAAAACATCTGCGGAACAAAAGAAGGCTTAAGGCAATAAGGCAAGAAGTAGGACCCGTGTAAATATCGGATCAGCTTTCCAGCGCTGGAGAGAACTCAAGGAGTGGAACGCCTGCGATCGGACGCCGATGTTGCTTTGTTTCTTCTCGATAGGTGAGTAACACAGTGTCTGTGATTGTCATTTGTCTGTGAAGCGATTTCTGGTAGCCATTGTTGACATTTGAAATCACCAAAACAAACACACCCCTACCCCAAAAGGGTCTCGCCCCTATTTTGATAGCTCCGCCCCACACATACATACGCAACCCAGGCAACGATTAGTTCTGTGAAATAAAGCAAAACCAATGTTGCACTGTGTCTACACCGGACACGAGTGGATCGGCCCGACAAAATACTATAGAACTCATTATAATCAGTTATGCGGTCTACACCATAGATATATATACATATCTATGGTCTACACTGGATGCGGCGCGGCACGACACAACAAATCCCCGACAGAAAAATGCTACTGCGTTTTATTCATGACGCATTGACACAAATTTCAAATGATTTTCAATGGTCGCTTTGTCGTGTCCAGTGTACTAGACAGACTTTAGCTGTTGCGGCGCAGACAGTGTTTTACTCAACCATCGAGAAGAAACAAAGCAACCTCGGCATCCGATCACAGGCCTTCCGCTCCTTGAGTTCTCTCCAGCGCTGGAAAGCTGATCTGATATTTACACGCGTCCTACTTCTTGCCTTAAGCCATCTTTTGTTCCGCAGACGTTTTCCTTTTTTGTTTTTTATCCGCCATCTCTATCTTTCTGTCGCTCTGCTCGCTAATGTCCGTCCTGTGCACTGAACGCTCTCTCCACCACATCATGAGTAGACACGCCCCTTACTGCTGATTGGCTACAAGTTTGTTTTGCTAGTCGGCCTGAATCAATTTTCTAAAGCGTTTACCCCACCTTTAATAACTACACAAGTTCAAAACAAAATAAATTTACAAAACGTACAATTTTTTTTTTATATTTACATTACAAATATGAAATTCATATAAAGTGGTCCATACTCAAAGTTGACAGCTGGGATATGAAACCTGTCTCTCTGTAAGCAAACACTGAACACATACTGATATTTGCCTTTCATCTGTGACAGCTTGCTTGTGCTAAAGTGCCAGGCTTATGTGTAAGAAAGCTTTTGTCCTTTATATACTTGACTCATGTTGAAGGAATGGGATGCAGAATTTTAATGCTGAATGGTTTTAATTCATCAGAAAAAAACGGTCCTGAAATGCTACTGTGATGTTACTTGAAAGGTCTCATTCATTGTGAGGGGTCCTAAAGGTAACAGTAAATTTGCTCAAGATTTTACCAAAACATGAGTGTGACTTTTAAGTCACTTACAAGTAATTACATTTAGGAATATTTTTGAACAATCTCCCGAAGCTGGAAATGTGACCATGAGGTATTAATAAAATCTTTAAGTGTAGCTATGGATCTGGGGATTCAGTTAAACCTCTTTGCAGTTTGATTAAAGCGAAGGGAAAAGCTGCAATGAGTTAGGAGATCCTCTCCAAATGCACCAGAGTAGAGCAAAAAACTAAATTTAACTGCTTTCCTGTAGGGAAAAACAGTATAAACAGCCTATAGTGGTTTGCTGGTCACCAAGCTAGTCTAGTTTGAATTGTTTTGGCAGCTGGTTAGGCTGGCAAGGCAGTTGGCCAACAAACTAAATCAGCTTAAACTAACTAACTAAACTCTGCATCTTAGGCTGGTTTAAACGTTTTTTTTTCTCCAGCAGGATGGCGTGTAATGTAGCACTTCAATGTCATATTGGTGCCAGACATACACTCAAGCCAGATTCTACAGTCATGAAACACAACCACTGCCAGACTTGACACTTGACAGTTCAAAATGCAACCTCTTCACTTGCCAGCAGCTGAGAGTTCAAATTAAAATTACTGCACAGTCATATCGTAAGCTAAACCACTGAATAAAGAGTTATCACTGGTAGTGACATACACACTCCACCAGGTTGGCAAATGCTTCAGTCACATGCTCGTTATATAAAACGTATGGATCAAACAGAATGAAGGATGGGATTGTTTGAAACACTGAAGGCAGGCATCCTACCTGCTCCGTCTGCAATAAGGGCAAACATTAGCGCTGATGGGAGGAGGGAGAGGCACAAATTAGGCATTATACTACTCTGATATGAGGAAAAGTCAATAATAATACACACTTGTTCATTATGAACCTGGCAGAATTAAAGCACAATGAGAAAATTTGGTTTCTAAAACCAAGTCTTAAGCCATAATTTATTTGACTGGTCACAATCACTCCTTTTTTATGGTTTGAAGACGCTTTGCTGCTAAAGCCAAGTGTATACTGCACTCTTTTACACTCTGTCCTGTAAGATTGTTATTTGTCAGACTGCATGGCAGGTGAGCTCTTGAGTAAGAACCAAGACAGACTGAATGAATCTTTCATGTTTGTAAAGTACATGTTGGTAAAGACTGAATGGTCATTTTAGTTAAACGTGTTATGACATCAATATTCACAAGTGAAATTGAGATTATATTGCACAAACCCAGTAACATTGGCAATGTTGTTCGTGAAAGAAGACAAAAGCACAGCAAGAGTCAGAGTGTCAGGAGTCAGTCGTGGATGGGCAACCGAGGTCACTGATTTCAAAGCAAGCTAAAGGTCATTTTGATGGTATGATCATAACGTGAAGGGAACACTGGGTTTCTGTATCATGTAGTATCAACATTTTTAACTAAATGTCTCTCTTTCTCTCCTTTGTAATAATAATAAAAAAAAAAAAAAAAATTCCCAAAATTAGGGTGTGTTCACACTTTAGTTCGGTTCTCTTTGTTCGTTTGGTCCGGACCAAAAAAGAAAACAATACATTTGGTCCTGGACCACTTAGCGTTCACACTGGCATTTTTGACAGCAAACCTAAAGGCATAGTGATACATTCACAATCTGATTGGTCGGGTTGAATGTCATATATTTCATGATGGAACTCCCCAAACAAAAGGTGTGTTCGACTTAAAGCAGTGCTGCGCAGACCGATCAGTGTATGACAACAAAGCACCCATTCACCAATCTGTCTGCTCAGCGCTGCTTTAAGTCGAACACACCTAATGCCGTCTGCTGGACTAAGTGCGCTCATTGTTGCGTGTATTAAAGGGGTCCTATTATGCTTTTTCACTTATTCAACTTTAGTTAGTCTGTAATGTTGCTGTTTGACTTGCCTCGTTCAGGCGATCTCGGACCGATTGTTTTGGCGCGGATCCGAGTGCGATTGCCGTGTTCACATATGCCCAAACGAACCGTGCTAAGGGGGGAAACGCGCCAGGTTCCGAAACAACAGGCCATGTGTGAAAACACCCTTAGAATGGTTACAATCATCCGGGTTTAAATCGCGCTCAAATTGATTTGATTTTGACGCAATATTTACACTGAAGCTCGCAGGCAGCACACACTGGCCCAGCTAACCAATCACAGCACATTTCGTATTTCAAAAGGCGTGCCTTCATTTGATACAGGAACTATTCGAGCCGTTCATGCCAGACTGTAGTTATGAGAGCCTGTTCTAGTACAACCCCAAAACAAAATCAAGACTTTGTAAAAGAGCATAATAGGACCCCTTTAATAATTTTATTTTCACCACCTGCAAACTCACGAAGAGCTCATAAAAGGCACTTTACCTCCTTGTTGCTCCACGTTTGCCCTGTGCTCATTTTGTTTGGGATACAAAGCTCATTTCCTCATCATCAAATCATGGCGCATAGCGTCTCTTGTCATTACTTCCTGTTTTTGGTTCGTTTAGAAGTATTTGGTCCGTGTTGCGTTCATATTTCATTTGAACCACACCAGAGTTCGTTTGGAAGCGGGCCGAGACCCATCTTTTCAGCGGTCTCGGTCCACTTGATTGGTGAGCACCAGGGTTCGGATGGCAGTGTTCACACTTACTCAAACGAACTGCACTAACAGAGCAATCGCATCAGAGTTTTTTTTTTTTAATCGAACCAAACATGACAAGTATGAACACACCCTTAGTCTCAGACAGCAAAAAATAAATAAAAAATTTGTTGCAGAAATTGCACAGTGTGCACCTGGCTTTATTTGAATCGGATCTTCAGCTGTACGAAGATTGGTAGCAAAACATTCTCAAACAATAACAATTTAATTCAGCTGAAAATACACTACTGCTCAAACGTTTGGGGTCAGTAAGACTTTATTTTCTGAAAGAAATTTTATAACATGTTTTTAATCAACAAGCATGGATTAAATTGATCAAAAGTGACAGTAAACACATCAAAAAATGTATATTTCAAATGCTTAAAAAAAAAAAAAAAAGTTCTCATCAAATAATCCTGAGACAAACATATCAAATATTGATCAGCACAACTGTTTTCAACATTTATAATTATAAGAAATGTTTTAGAACACAAAGCAGCATATTAGAATGATTTCTAAAGAATCATGTGACACTGAAGACTGGAGTAATGGCTGCTGAAAATTCAGCTTTCCATCACAGGAATAAATTACATTTGAAAATATATTAAAATAGAAAACAGCTATTTTATATTGTAATGATATTTCACAATATTACTGTTTTTACTGTACTTTTTAATGGACAAAAAGCAACCTTTGTGAGCATAAAAGTCTTCTTTCAAAAAACGACAAAAATAAAACCTTTAAACAGCAGTGTATTTTTTTGAAAAAATACTTTCATTATTATAATTTTTTTATATTATTATTATTAAAAATGTAATATTATGTGTGTTACCCAAGGCCACAGCAGGGTATCGTCAACAACCTCAGAAAGGCCAGTAAAGTTCTCAGGGGCAGCAGGGTGAACACGTACAGAAAGGCATCCAGACACAGGAAGAACCCGAAGATCATCAACTGTAGAAAGACACAAACAGCGACATTAGCACCTGCACACAGATATGCAATATGCAAAGCATAAATTCATTTGCTTTGTTCGTGTTCAGTCATGTTATACAGAAATAGCAGTGACATCATGTTAAGAAAGCCATCTGCCCTGAATCCTGATGCTTCACATGCTTGAGCACACAGAGGCGTGTAATGTGTTGAAGGAGGCTTTGAATATGTCTGCCAGCAGTCAGGAACCTTCAATATTTTTTTTATCTTTAGGAGGCACTCCTCTGTTTCAGAGAAAGACTGTTAAGGACAAATTAAAACATTAATATGCTCCGCAATCAACTGGCTCTTTAAAGACGAGTGTGAATCCTGGGGGACAATTTTTACCAGCAGCTATAAAACAAAGAGAGCTTGTTAGGAGACGAACACAGACCACTAGAACCCTCTCAACAAGGGACAAAGAAAATAAAAGGCAGTGGAATATAAATCAAGACAGGGCTTAATAATAAGGAGCTTTTCTGTAGGCCTGTAGTTCAGATAAGAACTTGCAAAGACACGGTCATAAACCTTTCAATAAAAATGTATTTTACATATTTGTATATGTAATTTTTTCCCATTAAATTCATGGTGAATTCATTCTGTACAAAAAAACTCTAAAATAAATAAACTAAATATTTATATATATTCTTTACAATAATAGCAGGAACTATACAGCTATGTAACGCTGTGATCACTAAAAATTTATAAACATACTTTTATATTGGTTAGTATTATTTAATTTTATTATTATTTTTTTTACATCTTTCCATTTAAGCTTTCTACAAATAAATAAAATGAATTCCCTACCCATTATTTGTATTCAGAAAAATGCATTCAGTTGATCAAAAGTGACAGTTGAGACATTAATAAAAATACAAAGTATTTATTACAAATTAATGCTGTTCTTTTTTTAACTTTATTTATCACAGAATCCTGAAAAGCAAATGCATCTCATTTTCCACAAAAATATTAAGCAGCACCACCGTTTTCAACATTCATAAGAAATGTTTCTTGAGCAGCAAATCAGCATATTAGAATGATTTCTGAAGGATCATGTGACACTGAAGACTGGAGTAATGGCTGCTGAAATTCAGCTTTGCCATCACCGGAATAAATTACATTTTAAAATATCTTCAAATAGATATAGTTATTTTAAATGAGTTATTTTTGATCAAATAAATCCAGTCTTGTTGAGCATGAGATTTCTTTCAAAAACATTTTAAAAAATTATTATCGAGCTTAAACTTTTAAACAGTAGTGTAAATATATATGTTTTTGACAAAACCTCAGCTGTTTAAGTTTGCAAAGCATAAAAATGTGCACATAATGAACAAGTGTAAAATATAGCGGAAACCAAGTACTGGTTGATAGATCAGACAGTTTCATCAGCTGGACCCATCAGCCAATCTTATTGTTGAGCTCTGCAAGATAATGAAAACATGCTACCTGCTCAGAGTGAACACACTGGCTGCAAGTAATCATTCTGAATCAACGTGGAAATCTCTTAGGTATGCAGCTCAACTTTGTGACCGACTGGTTGGTTCTGGTTGCTTCCAGAAAAAGCATGCAAAAACATAGGAAAGGAAAACAGCAAAGCTGTTTCTGGCTTATATGGTCTTCAGTCTATCTGTACTAGCCTCTCACCTGTGCATTGCAAGCATAATGAACAAATTGTTTCCCGGTCAGCACAGAACTTGAAAAAGCTCTTTCTAGGATTTGAGGGGTGGAGCACCTTCAGGGTCACAGAGCTGTCTTTGTGTGCGCATACCTCAGCTATCAACATGCACGGCATATCACACAAACCTCAGAGTGATCCTGAGGTCTTGAGCTGAATCTAAAAATGCTATGTGAATATTTCAATTCAGACATACTGCCCATTATATGAACCATAACCATCTCTTGCTTAATATGCTTAATAAAATAAAAACTATATACTTGAAACAGTCTTAGTAGTTTTCAAAAACTCAATATCGCCATCTAATGGCATTCAACAATTAATTTCTTAGGAAGAGTGAGGCACAGGACTATTTTGCACATTCAGTCTCTTTAATCTAAAATACTCATTTGATAACATCTAAAAAGCATTGAATTTTAAATCTAGATATATAACAATATAATATTAGATATATAGTAATATCTTGACATGTAATGTAAAATGATGCAAATGATGTAGTCTTTTGACTAGGCCTACACAAAATAACTTTGCATTAGGGCTGCACGATAAATCACATGCGATATTTAATGTGCATCTTGTCAGTAAAGCTGGTTCTGTAATCAGCGGAAAATCTCCATCATATACAGGTGCTAAACTACTTCAGTCTGTGTGCATTGAATTTATTTAATACACGAGTTTCACAATTTGAGTTGAATTACTGAAATAAATGAACTTTTCCACGACATTCTAATTTATTGAGATGCACATGTGTGATCATGGTTTTGCGCATCTTGTCAGTGAACAACGGCTCTGTGTAGGAAATGCTGCTTCATGTGAAAGCACACGCGTACGTGATGTTGATTTACCGCTGATTACAGAACGTCTCGGTTACGTATGGTAACCCTCATTCCCTGAAGGAGGGAACGGAGACGTCACGTCGGATGACCGACAAAATTGGGATCTCGCTTAGAGAGACCAATCTACTTT